CGGAGGGATTCGTTAGCGCCGTGGGTCGCTCGTCACTGAGCACTGACCAGAGCCGGGGGCGCATGTGTTCGTACCCGAGCGCAACCGAACTGACCGCGATGCAGTCGAGCACGAACTTCTGCTCGCGCTTCTCAGGCCCGGAGTGATTCATTTTAGGCAATGCAACTCTGCAATTACAAATTATATACAATTAGTCCACATTCAATATATAAAAATTAGGCATAGAGCCTTTTAGAATTAGACCTATTTGCTTTTAGAAGACATGCTAAAGTAAAAATAAACGGAGTTTCTAATCTGCAGGGCTAAACTTTGGCCCCAGCGCCTGTCGCTGCGGGGGGTGCAAGTGGGTCTATTGTGACGTCGCTCGTAGCAACAAGGTCAGTGTTGGAGTTGCGCGCACGGGTGTATTTCCCATCGAGATTTATCACCCGAGGAGACGCACTGTAATGTGCTGTCTGGAAATGGGTGGATTGAGCCGAATCTGGAAGTCCGTGGATTGAGCTGAAACAACTCTAGTTCTCTTTTCTTTTTTTTAAAGATCTTTTGCAACACTTCCTCTAATTGTCAAGATGACCGACTTGCTGTCCGTGGTGTCGGAGGCGGAGAGGAACTCCTTTCCAACCGTCTCTCAGCTCTCGGAAAACGGTCAGGACAGAACCCACTTTCTAGCCTATTTTATTGTACTGTAGAAAATATACGCTAATATATAGCCCACCTTGCTGCATCATAACAACACCTAGGCTATGCGCATTTGTTTGCAAACTTTGTGCAATTTACAATCAAGGTGTGCATGTCATTTGATTTATGCTACATTTTTTAAGCATTTAGCTATATAAGCTATTTTTATTTTCTGAAAATCGGTCTGAAAATGTTCCCCTTTATTCCAGACGTTGACAGCATTTGGTCAAACGTGTCATCTTTCGTGGAGAGACAGATGACCTTGCAAAAGGTGAGAGCACTTCAGAAAGTAGCTATAGCCATAGTCAGTGGTCAGTCAGTTCAGCTAAACCTAGCATATGGCAAAGTAGGATTTTTTTAGGAGGTTGAAGCACATTTACTGCATTTCATTTAAAAACTCTAAAATGCTAATTGAAGAATAGCAAAAACAAACTAAATGACATCAGACATTAATTATCACCACAATATCAGGTTTGAAGGTCTGTGGAAAGGCCATTAATTATCACCGCAATATCAGGTTTAAAGGTCTGTGGAACGGCCATTAATTATCACAGCAATATCAGGTTTAAAGGTCTGTGGAATGGCCATTAATTATCACAGCAATATCAGGTTTAAAGGTCCGTGGAACCGCCATTAATTATCACAGCAATATCAGGTTTAAAGGTCTGTGGAATGGCCATTAATTATCACCAGCAATATCAGGTTTAAAGGTCTGTGGAACGCCATTAATTATCACTGCAATATCAGGTTTAAAGGTCTCAAGTAAAAGTGAAAGTCACCCAGTAAAATACTACTTGAGTAAAAGTCTAAAATATTTGGTTTTAAATATAGTTAAGTATGAAAAGTAAATGTAATTGCTAAAATATACTTAAGTATCAAAAGTAAAAGTAAAAGTATAACTCATTTTACATTCCTTATATTAAGCAAACCAGAGGGCACCATTTTCTTGTTTTATTATTTTACGGATAGCCAGGGGCACACTCCAACACTCAGACATAATTTACAATTGAAGCATTTGTGTTTAGTGAGTCCGCCAGATCAGAGACAGTTGGGATGACCAGGGATGTTCTCTTAATAAGTGTGTGAATTGGAAAAAATGTCTGTCCTGCTAAGCATTCGAAATGTAACTAGTACTTTTGGGTGTCAGGGAAAATGTATGGAGTAAAAAGTACATTATTTTCTTTAGGAATGTAGTGGAGTAAAAGTAAAAGTTGTCAAAAATATGAATAGTAAAGTAAAGTACAGATACCCCCCAAAAACGACTTAAGTACTACTTTAAAGTATTTTTACTTAAGTACTTTACTCCACTGGCATTGAAATAAAAGGCATAGCCTACATCAGACTTACTTACAGTAGGCTTACAATCGACAGGGACGCATGAAGAGAAACTCGACTAAAGAATGACGAAAATCACGAAATACAAAAGGAAAATCTACACATGCCTTTTTAAAGGGCGCTAAGGCCACGCCCGTGATTCAGCACCGCTGAATGGACAGCGCCTCGGTACAGGCATTGTGGAGCTCCGTGACGTGGTGATGAATGGACAGCGCCTCTGTCTAGCAGCCAGCTACAGTGCATTCGGAAAGTATTCCGACCCCTTCCCTTTTTCCACATTTTGTTACATTACAGCCTTAATCTAAAATGGATTAGATATTTTTTTTCTCATCAGTCTACACACAATACCCCATAATGACAAAGCAAAAACAGAAATATCTTATTTACATATGAATTCAGAAACTTTGCTATGAGACTCGAAATTGAGCTCAGGTGCATCCTGTTTCCATTGATGATCCTTGAGATGTTTCTACAACTTGATTGGAGTCCACCTGTGGTAAATTAAATTGATTGGACATGATTTGTAAAGGCACACACCTGTCCATATAAGGTCCCACAGTTGACAGTGCATGTCAGAGCAAAAACCAAGCCATGAGGTCGAAGGAATTGTCCGTAGAGCTCCGAGACAGGATTGTGTCTAGGCACAGATCTGGGGAAGGGTACCAAAAAATGTCTGCAGCATTGAAGGTCCCCAAGAACACAGTGGCCTCCATCATTCTTAAATGGAAGAAGTTTGGAACCACCAAGACTCTTCCTAGAGCTGGCCGCCCAGCCAAACTGAGCAATTGGGGGAGAAGGGCCTTGGTCAGGGAGGTGACCAAGAACCCGATGGTCACTCTGACAGAGCTCCAGAGTTCCTCTGTAGAGATGGGAGAACCTTCCAGAAGGACAACTATCTCTGCAGCACTCCACCAATCAGGCCTTTATGGTATAGTGGCCAGACGGAAGCCACTCCTCAGTAAAAGACACATGACAGCCCGCTTGGAGTTTGCCAAAAGGCACCTAAAGGACTCTCAGACCATGAGAAATAAGATTCTCTGGTCTGATGAAACCAAGATTGAACATTTTGGCCTGAATACCAAGCGTCACGTCTGGAGGAAACCTGGCACCATCCCTACGGTGAAGCATGGTGGTGGCAGCATCATGCTGTGGGGATGTTTTTCTGGGAGACTAGTCAGGATCGAGGGAAAGATGAACGGAGCAAAGTTCAGAAAGATCCTTGATGAAAACCTGTTCCAGAGCGCTCAGGACCTCAGACTGGGGCGAAGGTTCACCTTCCAACAGGACAACTACCCTAAGTACACAGCCAAGACAACGCAGGAGTGGCTTCGGGACAAGTGACTGAATGTCCTTGAGTGATTCAGCCAGAGCCCTGACTTGAACCCGATCGAACATCTCTGGAGAGACCTAAAAATAGCTGTGCAGTGACGCTCCCCATCCAACCTGACCGAGCTTGAGAGGATCTGCAGAGAAGAATGGGAGAAACTCCCCAAATACAGGTGTGCCAAGCTTCTAGCATCATACCCAAGAAGACTCGAGGCTGTAATCGCTGCCAAAGGTGCTTCAACAAAGTACTGAGTGAAGGGTCTGAATACTTATGTAAATGTAATATTTCAGTTAAAAATATATAAATTGGCAAACATTTCTAAAAACCTGTTTTTGCTTTGTCATTATGGGGTATTGTGTGTGGATTGATGAGGGAAATGTAATCAATTTTAGAATAAGGCTGTAATGTAACAAAATCTGGAACAGGTCTGAATACTTTCCGAATGCACTGAATGTAATTATTTCGTTTGTGGGCAGTTCGAAGTGTTTTGGGCACAGTTAGATAGCCTACAATGCATATATGAAAATCATAACTGGTACGCAGATCTTTAGAAATGGTAGGATCAATTGTAAATTGGCGCTCCACATGAAAAAGGTTTGCCGATCCCCGCTATAGGCTGTATGAAGCCACCCTTGTGGAACGGCGAGGCCTACAGTGTACCATGACAGTGTCATTGTCTCGTGTGCTTCCCACCAACATTGTCTCGTTGCGTTGCATTCAGAGATGTTCCTCATGTGTGCGCCCAGTTCATTTTTGCATTTTAATTCATCGCCAGGGAAGGGAAACATTCTGCGAATATTGAAACATTGTATCAACAAGGGGGCTCCGAGAATATTGATTGCAACGTAGTAGCCAAAGAAGGGGCCGCTCCCGCATTTTCCCTCCCGTGAACTATTATGTTGCTTGAGCAGTTGGATTATCTGGGTGTTTATTATAGTTAAAAAACAACCTTACATCTTCACTATAGCTAAATAAGTTAGCAATATTTAATGACGTTTTGCCAACAAGATGGATCTGTAAAAATATCTCATTTTAATTGAGGAAGATGGACAAGCAAGATTGATAGAGTGAGAGGTGGAAATGCATGATTCCAGAGGCAGGTAGGCTACAGGAAGGGACGATGAAGTAGGTCTACAGCAAGACGTTATGTCAATTATCATTCACTCACTGTATGACAATGTACATTTGTTATAGCCTACAATTGTTATTGTCTTTGAAGCCAATAACAGGACATGTATTTTAGGGAAATGCTCTAAATAACAAGTTGTTCAGTTGTGTTTATTTTCATAGCAATACATGAAACCAAAATTGCACTAGCCTACAGGGCAAATGAATACAAATATCAATTAGGCCTACAACTATCACAGCCTATATTTTAATAGCAATAAAATAGCTTTTGATTTCGAATGGTCACCAAAAAAACGACGGCTCCCTCACCTCCCAATTCCCAATTCAATTAACCCCTGGCTATCAGATTACAACAAGGCTTACAAGGCCGAGTTCAAATGCCGACATCAATCTCAAAGCAATCGGCGCACTGCCTAAACGGCTGACTGGCAAAGAAAACGGGCACTGTCTCTGCTTTCTGAAAGTGAGAGGAAAAGGGCACAGGGTGCCAGCTGCTCTCTGAGCGATGCTAGTCAGCCAGTAAAGCCAGCCAGTCAGCCAATACGGTAAACAGCTGTTGCATTTTAATTGGGATTGGAATGATTTCAGTCAACTCTTTTTGTTGTTGCTTACTTTACATTTTTGGTATTGTATTGTGTGTGTGTGTGTATTGTGTGTGTGTATTGTGTGAGTGTGTATTGTGTGAGTGTGTATTGTGTGTGTGTGTGTATTATGTGTGTGTGTGTGTGTGTTGTGTGATTGTGTATTGTGTGAGTGTGTATTGCGTGAGTGTGTATTGTGTGTGTGTAATATGTGTGTGTGTGTGTGTGTATTGTGTGTGTGTGTATTGTGTGTATTGTGTGTGTGTGTATTATGTGTGTGTGTATGTGTATTATGTGTGTGTGTGTGTGTGTGTATTGTATGTGTGTGTGTGTATTGTATGTGTGTGTGTATTGTGTGTGTGTGTATTGTGTGTGTGTGTTTGTGTGTGTTGTGTTGTGTGTGTGTGTGTGTATTGTGTGTGTGTGTATTGTGTGTGTGTGTATTATGTGTGTGTGTGTGTGTATTATGTGTGTGTGTGTATGTGTGTGTGTATTGTGTGTGTGTGTGTGTATTATGTGTGTGTGTGTATTGTGTGTGTGTGTATAATGTGTGTGTGTATTATGTGTGTATTGTGTGTGTGTGTATTGTGTGTGTGTGTATTGTGTGTGTGTGTGTATATTATGTGTGTGTATTGTGTGTGAGTGTGTATTGTGTGTGTGTGTGTGTATTGTGTGTGGCGACTCCCCTGGTCATAGAGGATGACTATAAACTCTGAAATTGGACTATTTTACATGTAACATAGATTTGAAGCTGGCAACTATTCTATGGCCTGATTTTCAGTGAGATTAAGAAATCTTTCAGCTCTGAGGAAAGTTAGGCTAGGCATTAGGAAAGTGAACATGACATATCATAAATAGTAGAGGCGTTACCATGACGTCCTTCAGCTATAGTCATCATCAGGTCTAGGAGAACTGGTTGAGAACTTGTTGTTTGTGTCTGTCTGTCTGTCTGTCTGTCTGTCTGTCTGTCTGTCCAGGGGGTCTACATCCCAGGCCTGGGAACCTTCACCTTCTCTCAGCAGAAGCTGGACGTAGGCAACAAGTTTGTTTTGATCCAGCGACCCATCTTCCTGCTCTCTGAGAAGCTGTCCCAGTCACACGGCCTCAAGCAGGTCAAACCGCTGTCTGCAGGTGAGTGGCGATGGGCCAAGCACACACACACACACACACACACACACACACACACACACACACACACATGAGTACGCACACAGACACACACACACATACACAATACACACTCATACAATACACACACACAATACACACACACACATAGACACATAGACACACAGACACACAGACACACACACACACACGGACACACAGACACACAGACACGCAAACACACACAGACACACACAAGACATCTTCTGTCAATGCTGGCGCGCTTATGTGAGCGACCGCAGATATCAAGCCTGAGTTGTGTGTCTGTGTGCTATACAATATTGTTCTGATAGCCCGCTGAGCTAAAGCCTAGGCATTAACTTGGGGAACGAATGCAATTCTTCAGGTCCCAGGAAAGCGGTTTAAATGTTAATCATCCCACAAATGTGGTTTGTTTAATGAACCACTTCCAGTATGTTACACTGAGACCAGCAATGTGTCCCATAGAAACAGTATGTTACACTGAGACCAGCAATGTGTCCCATAGAAACAGTATGTTACACTGGTATAATGTGTCCCATAGAAACAGTATGTTACACTGGTATAATGTGTCCCATAGAAACAGTATGTTACACTGAGACCAGCAATGTGTCCCATAGAAACAGTATGATGAAAGGGAATGAATGAGAAAACCCTGTGTGTCTAGATCCAGGTGTTGCTTTTAGCAGGAACAACACAATAACCGTCCGTCCGTTCTAGTCATTGCATTTCCGTGTGTGTGCCTGTGCCATCCATCTGTCTGTCCGTCATCACTGCAGGGGATGTGCCACTGGTCCAGCTCAACTATACAGCCCTGTCTGTGGAGAGCCTGTTGGGAATGGAATAGAGATAGATATCTTGGTGTTAATGTGTCTGTCTGTGGAGAGCCTGTTGGGAATGGAATAGAGATAGACATCTTGGTGTGCCTGATCCATATCCAACCCAGGTTGTCTGTCTATGAACGACTGTGTTAGTCCGCTGAGCTAAAGCCTATAGCTTTAACTTGGATAACTAACACAACTCTTCAGGTCTCAGACAAGCGGGTTAATTATCACAGGAATCCATTACACTAGCACTAGGAATGTGTGCCATCCATCTGTCATCACAGCAGGGGACGTGCCAGTGGTCCAGCTCAACTTCACAGCCCTGTCTGTGGAGAGCCCGTTTGAGCGTCACGTGGTGGAGGGCTGTGTGAGAGAGACTCTGCTGGTGTTGCTGAGAGCCGTTGCCGCCGGACGCTCAGTCCTCTTCACCGTCCACGCCATCGGAGAGCTGTCGTTCTGCCAGAGCAAAGTCAAGATGAAGTTCTACCACGACTTTGTCACCGCCATGGACGGCAGCGGGAAGCTGCTCCGGGCTCTCTCCAATGTCAGTAGGGTGGATTAGATATGTAATGTAGATAGTGTGTGTGTGGGGGATGGGGATTGGGTGGCGGTAGGGTGTGTGTGTGTGTGTGTGTGTGTACAGTATGTGTGTGTTTGTACAGTATGTGTGTGTTTGTGTGTGTTTGTCTGTGTGTGTGTGCGTGCATGCGAGAGACAGAGAGAGAGCAGGTGTGTATGATTGTACAAGTGCATCTGCGTTTGTATTTGTGTTGATGTCAATCCTCCCTACTCCACTCTCTATCCCAGAGACCTGGCACCAGCAACTCTCTCCTGTTTGGGAGAGGATCCAGTATACAGGGACCAGGGACCAGCAACACCATCATCCTCCCTAAGATCTCCTCCGAACAGCGGGGGAAGGACTGGGGAGAGGAGGCCCCAGCCCAGGTCCAGACAAACTCAGACAGGAAGGAGGAGAATGGTGGTGAGGGAGAGACAGTGGTGTAATCTGGTCCTCTTAAAACCTTAAGGGTTTTTATGGCCAAATCTTGACGATGGTTTGTAGTCTCTGTGGATATGTTTGGGCTCCTTGACTGAAACCCTGTGTTGGCTCCCTGACCTGATAACCCTGGTTGGGCTCCCTTGACTTGATAACCTGTGTTGGGCTCCCTTGACCTTGATAACCCTGTGTTGGGCTCCCTTGACCTTGATAACCCTGTGTTGGGCTCCCTTGACCTTGATAACCCTGTGTTGGGCTCCCTTGACCTTGATAACCCTGTGTTGGGCTCCCTTGACCTTGATAACCCTGTGTTGGTCCTTGACTTGATAACCCTGTGTTGGGTCCCTTGAACTGATAACCCTGTGTTGGGTCCTTGACATGATAACCCTGTGTTGGGCTCCTGACTTGATAACCCTGTTTGGGCTCCCTTGACTTGATAACCCTGTGTTGGGCTCCCTTGACCTTGATAACCCTGTGTTGGGCTCCCTTGACCTTGATAACCCTGTGTTGGGCTCCCTTGGACCTTGATAACCCTGTGTTGGGCTCCCTTGACCTTGATAACCCTGTGTTGGGCTCCCTTGACCTTGATAACCCTGTGTTGGGCTCCCTTGACCTTGATAACCCTGTGTTGGGCTCCCTTGACCTTGATAACCCGTGTGGAACATACTAAGCTACATATTACCGTTATATGGTGGCGTCCCGCTCTATTCTCCCCTTGTATGTTACCATGTTACCCAGATGCGGGCTCCCTTGACCTGAACCCTGGCCCAGCAGTTAAGGGCTCTCACTTGACCTTGAAACCTCCAGCAGTGGACACACTACTACTGTACTTTCGGCCTCAATGCTAACCGCAGCTATTGTCGGCCTCCCTGCTAACCCCAGCTATTGTAGGCCTCACTGCTAACCCCAGCTATTGTCGGCCTCACTGCTAACCCCAGCTATTGTCGGCCTCAATGCTAACCCAGTTATTGTCGGACTCACTGCTAACCCCAGCATTGTCGGCCTCACTGCTAACCCCAGCTATTGTCGGCCTCAATGCTAACCCCAGCTATTGTCAGCCTCAATGCTAACCCAGCTATTGTCGGCCTCAATGCTAACCCCAGCTATTGTCGGCCTCCTGCTAACCCCAGCTATTGTCGGCCTCAATGCTAACCCCAGCTATTGTCGGCCTCAATGCTAACCCCAGCTATTGTCGGCCTCAATGCTAACCCCAGCTATTGTCGGCCTCCTGCTAACCCCAGCTATTGTCGGCCTCCCTGCTAACCCCAGCTATTGTTGGCTCAATGCTAACCCCAGCTATTGTCGGCCTCACTGCTACATATCCCACTGCCATGGTGGACTCATGTAACCCCAGCTATCCGTGGCACCTCTACCATGTTATGTCGGCCTCATCTAAAGTAGTGCCTACCACATGCTAACCCAGCTTTGGCGCCTCATGACTAACCGCAGACTATTGTCGGCCCTCAAGCTGTAACCCCAGTCTATGGTGGCCTCTCTAACCTGTTAATCCGGACAGACCAAACCCTGTTCGGCTCACTCTAACCCAGCTTTGTCAGGCACCAAACCCTGGCTAACCCCATAGACTTTATCGGCTACACACTAAACCCAGCTATGTCGCCTCTGCTAAACCGAACCAGACTACCAATAACCTGTGGCTCTCTCTAACCCAGCTAATGTCGGCCTAATGCTAACACAACCCGGTTGTCTTCGCTCTAACTGTTAATCAGACAGTAACACCAGACCTGGTTGCTCTCTCCCAATCCTGTTAATCCAGACAGAACTAAATGGTTGCGCTCTCCTCTAAACCAGCTATGTCGGACTCCAATGCTAACCAACAACCTATTGTTGGCTCTCCTGCTAACCTGTTAATCCAGGACCAGTAACACAAAACCCTGCGTTGGTGCTCCTCAAACTGTACCAAGACATAACACAACTGGTTGGTCTCCCTCTAAGACCCCGTTATATGCCAGGACTCCTAGTAACACAAGACCCTGGTTGGTCTCTCCTCTAACCAGCTGTTAATCCAGACAGTAACACAAACCCTGGTTGCTCTCTCCACTAAACCTGTTAATCAAGACAGTAACACAAAACCCTGGTTGGTCTCTCCTCTAAACCTGTTAATCCAAGACAGTAACACAAAACCCTGGTTGGTCTCTCCTCTAAAGCTGTTAATCCAGGACAGTAACACAAGACCCTGGTTGGTCTCTCCACTAAACCTGTTAATCCAGGACAGTAACACAAAACCCTGGTTGGTCTCTCCTCTAAACCTGTTAATCCAGGACAGTAACACAAAACCCTGGTTGGTCTCTCCTCTAAACCTGTTAATCCAGGACAGTAACACAAAACCCTGGTTGGTCTCTCCTCTAAACCTGTTAATCCAGGACAGTAACACAAAACCCTGGTTGGTCTCTCCTCTAAACCTGTTAATCCAAGACAGTAACACAAAACCCTGGTTGGTCTCTCCTCTAAACCTGTTAATCCAGGACAGTAACACAAAACCCTGGTTGGTCTCTCCTCTAAACCTGTTAATCCAGACAGTAACACAACACCCTGGTTGGTCTCTCCAAATCCAAGACAGTAACACAAAACCCTGGTTGTTCTCTCCACTAAACCTGTTAATCCAGGACAGTAACACAAAACCCTGGTTGGTCTCTCCTCTAAACCTGTTAATCCAGGACAGTATCACAACACCCTGGTTGGTCTCTCCTCTAAACCTGTTAATCCAGGACAGTATCACAACACCCCACTCCCAGCCTACGGCGGATTGCATAATGTAACAGAAAACCAGTTTGGAAACAAGTGTTTTAATCAGCACTTCTAAGTGCTATCCTCTAGGGATCCAATGTACAGTTGAAGTCAGAAATGTACTTACACCTTAGCCAAATACATTTAAACTCAGTTTTTCACAATTACTGACATTTAATCCTAGTAAAAATTCCCTGTCTTAGCTTTTATCCAAAGCGACTTACAGTCATGTTTGCATACCTTTTTACGTATGGGTGGTACCGGGGATCGAACCCACTACCCTGGCGTTACAAGTGCCATTCACTACCAATTGAGCTACAGAGGACCACCATAATAGTAGATATAATTATTTATTTAAGCTTTTATTTATTTCATCAAATTCCCAGTGGGTCAGAAGTTTACATACACTCAATTAGTATTTGGTAGCATTGCCTTTAAATTGTTTAACTTGGGTCAAACATTTCGGGTAGCCTTCCACAAGCTTCCCACAATAAATTGGGTGAATTTTGGCCCATTCCTCCTGACAGAGCTGGTGTAACTGAGTCAGGTTTGTAGGCCTCCTTGCTCACACACGCTTTTTCAGTTCTGCCCTCAAATGTTCTATAGGATTGAGGTCAGGGCTTTGTGATGGCCACTCCAATACCTTGACTTTGTTGTCCTTAAGCCATTTTGCCACAACTTTGGAAGTATGCTTGGGGTCATTATCCATTTGGAAGACCCATTTGCGACCAAGCTTTAACTTCCTGACTGATGTCTTGAGATGTTGCTTCAATATATCCACATAATTTTCCTTCCTCATGATGCCATCTATTTTGTGAAGTGCACCAGGCCCTCCTGCAGCAAAGCACCCCCACAGCATGATGCTGCCACCCCCGTGCTTCACGGTTGGGATGGTGTTCTTCGGCTTGCAAGCTCCCCCTTTTTCCTCCAAACATAACGATGGTCATTATGGCCAAACAGTTATATTTTTGTTTCATCAGACCAGAGGACATTTCTCCAAAAAGTAAGATCTTTGTCCCATGTATGAACCAGACTTGTGGAGGTCTACAATTCTTTTTCTGAGGTATTGGCTTATTTATTTTGATATTCCCATGATGTCAAGCAAAGAGGCAATGAGTTTGAAGGTAGGCCTTGAAATACATCCACAGGTACACCTCCAATTGACTCAAATGATGTCAATTAGCCTATCAGAAGTTTCTAAAGCCATGACATCATTTCCTGGAATTTTCCAAGCTGTTTAAAGGCACAGTCAACTTAGTGTATGTAAACTTCTGACCCACTGGAATTGTGATACAGTGAATTATAAGTGAAATAATCTGTCTCTAAACAATTGTTGGAAAAATTACTTGTGTCATGCACAAAGTAGATGTCCTAACCGACTTGCCAAAACTATAGTTTGTTAACAAGAAATTTGTGGAGTGGTTGAAAAACGAGTTTTAATGACTCCAACCCAAGTGTATGTAAACTTACGACTTCAACTGTATATCTAGTTGTATATGTTTTTCCCAATAATAAGTTAAATTCAGTGAGTAACCTGGTATGAGACCTGAAGAATTGCATTAGCTCTATGACCCAAAAATAAGTTAAATTCAATGAGTAGCCTTGACTAAGACCTGAAGACTTGTGTTAGCTCTCTGACCCAATACCTAGGCTATGTCCAAATGATCTCTCCTTCCTCCCAAAGTGTGCAACTTGTTCACTTCCCTTCACTGATTTGAAAGGAAAAGACTGGTGTACGAAATATGGTGGAAACTCCCACTAGCCCCATGCCTCCAACTCAATGCTTTTAGATTTATGGGTAGTGAACAAGTTTCGCAGGAGCTATTATTGGAACGCACCCCTGGGCAATCTGCAGGAGTCTAGGAGAGGGTACTTGTGTTACTGTCCTGGGGCAGTAGCTCCATGAATGATGCAGCGCTCCCTGTGTGGGACAGTCCCTCACCTGTCACCACCTGATCATTCAGCCAGTGAGCCCTGAGCTGAGGGCCCTGAGGTTTGGCCTGCCCTGTACCCCCCACAGCGGCCCCGTGGCCCTGGGCTCTGAAACTAAACCCCTCTGGACGTTCCTCCGTCCATACAGACACTGTCTGCATCCCAAATGGCACCCTTTTCCCTATATAGTGCACTACTTTTGGTCAAACGTAGTGCACTATGGGAATAGGGTGCCATTTGGGGTACATAACCAGAAGTATTTTGGTCCCCCAAGACTGCGGTCGAATAGCCCCTGAGCTGAAAGATAACCCAGGACTGCGGTCGAATAGCCCCTGAGCTGAAAGATAACCCAGGACTGCGGTCGAATAGCCCCTGAACTGAAAGATAACCCAGGACTGCGGTCGAATAGCCCCTGAGCTGAAAGATAACCCAGGACTGCTATCTGTTTCCAACCTGCTGTCCTGTAGGTCCACAGTGTCTATCCTACCACTGCAGGGCGCTGCTCTGAAGCAGGGGAAGGTGAAGAGGGGGGACTCTCACCTGGACGTTCCCTGTGTCGACCACAACCGGGCTGGACAGGTGTGTGTGTGTGTGTGTGTGTGTGCCGGACACTCTGCTTTTGTGAGTGTGTGTGAGGGGTATAAATCAATCAATCAATTCATCAATCAATCAATAACTGTGTGTTTCCCTATAGGAGTTGTTACCTGTGTATACAGTATAACATCACCTATCCTTCCCTATAGGAGTTGTTACCTGTGTATACAGTATAACATCACCTATCCTTCCCTATAGGAGTTGTTACCTGTGTATATAACATCACCTATCCTTCCCTATAGGAGTTGTTACCTGTGTATATAACATCCCCTATCCTTCCCTATAGGAGTTGTTACCTGTGTATATAACATCCCCTATCCTTCCCTATAGGAGTTGTGTTACCTGTGCATGCAGCGTGCCCAGCGTAACATCCCCCATTACCTGGCAGAAGAGAGGCTGAGGGAACAGCAGGAGGAGGAGAGGGTGTTACTGCTCAACGAGCAGCGCAGAGACCAGTGCTACCTGCAGAGGGAGCAGGTGAGGCCAACACCACTCTGATGATGCTCTGACCATGAGATGAGGAACATGTTACATGTTGTCTTTTATTCTGTGTCTTGGAATGATAAATAGACAGAATAGTCCTGGACTACAAACCAATGGAAAGTCTGCATTTGTACTTCTGTTTTAGTCCTGCAGTCAGATTAAACTCAGTAGTCAGATTAAACTCAGTAGTCAGATTAAACTCAGTAGTGAGGTGACACTGAGCCTGTGTGTGGTCCCTCTGTGTGTGTGTGTGTGTGTGTGTGTGTGTGTGTGTGTGTGTGTGTGTGTGTGTGTGTGTGTGTGTTGTGCTTGTGTGTGGTGTGTGGTGTGTGTATTTGTGATGTGGTGTGGTGGTGTGTGTATCTGTGATGTGGGTGTGGTGGTGTGTGTATCTGTGATGTGGTGTGGTGGTGTGTGTATCTGTGATGTGGTGTGGTGGTGTGTGTATCTGTGATGTGGTGTGGTGGTGTGTGTATCTGTGATGTGGTGTGGGTGGTGTGTGTATCTGTGATGTGGTGTGGTGGTGTGTGTATCTGTGATATGGTGTGGTGGTGTGTGTATCTGTGATGATGGTGTGGTGGTGGTGTGTATTCTGTGATGTGGTGTGGTTGTGTGTGTGTATCTGTGATATGGTGTGGTGGTGTGTGTATCTGTGATGTGGTGTGTGTGTGTATCTGTGATGTGGTGTGGTGGTGTGTGTATCTGTGATGTGGTGTGTGTGTGTATCTGTGATATGGTGTGGTGGTGTGTGTATCTGTGATGGTGTGTGGTGTGTGTATCTGTGATGTGGTGTGTGTGTGTGTGTGTGTGTGTTAGGCGGACCGTCTGGAGAAACGTGAGAACAACCAGAAGGTGGCAGCGTTCAACCTGGGAGTGTCTGAAGCCATGAAGGAGAAGAAGGTTGCTCGCTCCTCCCACTTCCATGTGAGCCCAGGCCTTGTCCAATCAGCACACTGTTCCTCAGGGGGTTTAAATATTCTAGAGTTCAAATGGTTCACGGCTTTTCAGTTGCTGCATTTAGCATGCATAGGTCTATGCACAGTTGCAACACTTAGCCAATGGTCTAAAGCAGGGCTGCCCAACCCTCTTCCTGGAGATATACTGTCCTGTAGGTTTTCAGTCCAACCCTAATTTAGCATATCTGATTCAGCTAGTTAAGGTCTTGTTGAGCAGCTAATAAGTAGAATCAGGTGTGTTAAATTAGGGTTGAACTGAAAACCCACAGGACGGTAGATGTACAGGAAGAGGGTTGGACTGAAAACCCACAGGACGGTAGATGTACAGGAAGAGGGTTGGACTGAAAACCCACAGGACGGTAGATGTACAGGAAGAGGGTTGGGCAGCCCTGGTGTAAACTAATCAATTAATGATGTTGTGATGATGTTGAACCCCCCCACTCACACACACCTCCTCCCCCCCACAGGGTTCGTACATCTTCGGGGGCCGTCCCCTCACCCCTCCCAGGGTCCATAAGCAGCGCGGCTACATGAAGGATCTGCGGGCCCAGGCGGAGTGGAGGGAGGACCAGGTCAGCATGACTCAGCAGGATCAGGAGCTCATCGACCTGCTACACCAGGTCCAGCTGGCACAGGAGTAGGTGATGGCACCCCATTCCCTGTGTAGTGCACTACTCTGTTTTCTCCAGGGCTCTTCAGTGCACTATAAAGGGAGTAGGGTGCCACATCAATATGTTTGTCTAAGAGGAAGTGCACTTGTTGCCATGCAGCCATGTAAACAGGCCTGTGGTCTCTGCTGTACATACAGAAGGCTGTGGTCATTGTACAGCCTATTGCTCAGTTTCTACAGTGTGTGAATAGCTGTTGTGTGTCACAGAATCACCTTGCATAAGTCCCAGCAACTCCACCTGAAACAGAAGAACACTAGCTGCTACAAGAAATCCCTGGATATACAGGTAAGAGGCTATACTACAATATATTCTATAGCATACCTAACAGACCATACCTACCAGACCAGACCTACCAGACCTACCAGACCAGACCAGACCTACCAGACCATACCTACCAGACCAGACCTACCAGACCCTACCTACCAGACCTAACAGACCCTACCTACCAGACCTACCACCAGACCTACCAGACCAGACCTACCAGACCATACCTACCAGACCCTACCTACCAGACCTACCAGACCAGACCTAACAGACCCTACCTACCAGACCTACCAGACCAGACCTACCAGACCAGACATAACAGACCCTACCAGACCAGACCTACCAGATCAGACCCACCAGACCAGACTTACCAGACCATACTTACCAGACCTACCAGACCAGACCATACCTACAAGACCATACCTACCAGACCTACCACCACCCACCACCATACCTACCGACCATACCTACCAGACCTACCAGACACCAGACCTACCACCACCTACGACCATACCATACTACCAGACATACCTACCAGACAGACCTACCACCTACCTACCAGACCTACTACCAGACCTACCAGACAGACCTACCAGACCACCACCATAGACCAACCTACCAGAGACAGACCTACCAGACCAACCTATCAACCACCAACAGACTACCACCAGACCCAGACCTAACCAACCAGCCTAGACCAGACCTACCCAGACCACCAGACCTACAACTACCTAGAAAAAAAATACCTACAGACAACCTACCAGACCAGACCTACAGACCAGACCTACAATAAAGAAGGATAGTCGAGCTAGCCGAAACTACATACAGACGAAGACCCCAGAGAATAAAGGAGGAAGAGGAGGTAAAATGCATGGTAAAGAAGGATAGTCGAGCTAGACATGAACTACATAAAGACGAACAACAGAGAGATAAAGGAGGAGAGTGCACAACAGCTCCTCTGTGGTGTCTATTTCTAGTCCAGGTTGAACAGTAGTCCAGCTCCTCTGTGGTGTCTATGTTCTAGTCCAGTTTGAACAGTAGTCCAGCTCCTCTGTGGTGTCTATTCTATCCAGGTTGAACAGTAGTCCAGCTCCTCTGTGGTGTCTATTTCTAGTCCAGTTGAACAGTAGTCCAGCTCCTCTGTGGTGTCTATTTCTAGTCCAGGTTGAACAGTAGTCCAGCTCCTCTGTGGTGTCTATTTCTAGTCCAGGTTGAACAGTAGTCCAGCTCCTCTGTGGTGTCTATGTCTAGTCCAGGTTGAACAGTAGTCCAGCTCCTCTGTGGTGTCTATGTCTAGTCCAGGTTGAACAGTAGTCCAGCTCCTCTGTGGTGTCTATTTCTAGTCCAGGTTGAACAGTAGTCCAGCTCCTCTGTGGTGTCTATGTCTAGTCCAGGTTGAACAGTAGTCAAGCTCCTCTGTGGTATCTTTTTCTAGTCCAGGTTGAACAGTAGTCCAGCTCCTCTGTGGTGTCTATATCTAATCCAGGTTGAACAGTACTCCAGCTCCTCTGTGGTGTCTATTTCTAGTCCAGGTTGAACAGTAGTCCAGCTCCTCTGTGGTGTCTATGTCTAATCCAGGTTGAACAGTAGTCCAGCTCCTATGTGGTGTCTATGTCTAGTCCAGGATGAACAGTAGTCCAGCTCCTCTGTGGTGTCTATGTCTAGTCCAGGTTGAACAGTAGTCCAGCTCATCTGTGGTGTCTATGTCTAGTCCAGGTTGAACAGTAGTCCAGCTCCTCTGTGGTGTCTATTTCTAGTCCAGGTTGAACAGTAGTCAAGCTCCTCTGTGGTGTCTATTCCTAGTCCAGGTTGAACAGTAGTCCAGCTCCTCTGTGGTGTATATTTCTAGTCCAGGTTGAACAGTAGTCCAGCTCCTCTGTGGTGTCTATTTCTAGTCCAGGTTGAACAGTAATCCAGCTCCTCTGTGGTGTCTATGTCTAGTCCAGGTTGAACAGTAGTCCAGCTCCTCTGTGGTGTCTATTTCTAGTCCAGGTTGAACAGTAGTCAAGCTCCTCTGTGGTGTCTATTTCTAGTCCAGGTTGAACAGTAGTCCAGCTCCTCTGTGGTGTCTATTTCTAGTCCAGGTTGAACAGTAGTCCAGCTCCTCTGTGGTGTCTATGTCTAGTCCAGGTTGAACAGTAGTCCAGCTCCTCTGTGGTGTCTATTTCTAGTCCAGGTTGAACAGTAGTCCAGCTCCTCTGTGGTGTCTATTTCTAGTCCAGGTTGAACAGTAATCCAGCTCGTCTGTGGTGTCTATTTCTAGTCCAGGATGAACAGTAGTCCAGCTCGTCTGTGGTGTCTATTTCTAGTCCAGGTTGAACAGTAGTCCAGCTCCTCTGTGGTGTCTATTTCTAGTCCAGGTTGAACAGTAGTCCAGCTCGTCTGTGGTGTCTATTTCTAGTCCAGGTTGAACAGTAGTCCAGCTCCTCTGTGGTGTCTATGTCTAATCCAGGTTGAATAGTAGTCCAGCTCCTCTGTGGTGTCTATTTCTAGTCCAGGTTGAACAGTAGTCCAGCTCCTCTGTGGTGTCTATGTCTAGTCCAGGTTGAACAGTAGTCCAGCTCCTCTGTGGTGTCTATTTCTAGTCCAGGTTGAACAGTAGTCAAGCTCCTCTGTGGTGTCTATGTCTAGTCCAGGTTGAACAGTAGTCCAGCTCCTCTGTGGTGTCTATTTCTAGTCCAGGTTGAGTAGAAAACAATCCCAGCACACTGGTGATCTTCATGCTCTGCTAATCTAATGGATCTTAACCGAGAACAGGGAGGCATAGTTGAGATGAAAGGAGAGATTCCAGTAGTTTTAGATGACAGATGAGTTTCCAGCAGTTATAGATGACAGATGAGTTTCCAGTAGTTGTGAGCTCCTCCGTGATTGTAATCTTCACCCAGGTTGAGTAGAAAGGTAATCTGATGATCTTGATGCTCCACAAATCTAACTGATGTTATTTAACTAACGTATCTACCAGGTGGAGTGCCAGGGCACGGGCCTCCCAGCGCGCCAGCCCGACTCGGACGGCCCTGTGTTCGGCCAGCTGGACTGTACCCCTGCTGGGCTGTCAGAGCAGAGGCAGCGGGCGGAGAAGGTCTACCAGGAACAGCTGACCACGGCTAATAACAAGAGAAAAGAGCAGCTCCTTAACCGCTGCACCAAACAGAAGAACGAGAGAGAGATGCTCAACAGGAACAGGAAGGAGTGAGTGGAAGGGGGAAGGCAGGGGGGAGAGAGGTGTGGGGAAAGGGAGAGAGAGGGAGTAATGGAGAGACGGGGGAGTGGGGATGGTGAAATTCTCCACTTGAAATTCAGAAAGTGAGTGAATAAAATGAGAATGCAGAAAAAAGTGTTATGTGCAATGGTTCAAGGTTAAAGGTTAAAGGCCATTTTATATGAGATGTCTTTTACATATGTTCTGTTTCTATATTTCCCCTCCCTCTCTCTCCTGGCAGACTGATAAACGACCATATCAACCGCTTTGAGAAGCTGCATAACCTGCGGGCCTCGCTGGAGGAGACCTGGAGACACAGCGCTGACCTGAAACGCCACCGAGACCGAGAGGAGAAGGAATTCATCAGGTAATGTACTCAAATCCCAACCTGGGTTAGCCCTAACCCTTCCATGTTTACAGATCTGGAAGTGGACACAATATTGTGGAAGCTTTCCCACTACACTGTTTATACCTATCCAGACCCTTCAGATACACCACTACACTGTTTATATTCCAGACCTCAGATACACACACATGTTATTATCCGACCTTCAGATACACCACTACACTGTTTATATCTATCCAGACCCTTCAGATACACACTACACTGTTTATATCTATCCAGACCCTTCAGATACACCACTACACTGTTTATATCTATCCAGACCTCATTCACCAAAGTTTATCGACCTTTATCACCACTACACTGTTTATATCCATCCAGACCCTTCAGATACACCACTACACTGTTTAGACAGACCCTTCAGATACACCACTACACTGTTTATATCTATCCAGACCCTTCAGATCACCACTACACTGTTTATATCTATCCAGACCCTTCAGATACACCACTACACTGTTTATACAGACCCTTCATATCACCACTACACTGTTTATATCTCATCCAGACCCTTCAGATACACCACTACACTGTTTATACCTATCCAGACCCTTCAGATACACCACTACACTGTTTATATCTATCCAGACCCTTCAGATACACCACTACACTGTTTATACTATCCAGACCCTTCAGATTCACCACTACACTGTTTATACCTATCCAGACCCTTCAGATACACCACTACACTGTTTATACTATCCAGACCCTTCAGATACACCACTACACTGTTTAGATCCAGACCCTTCAGATATACCACTACACTGTTTATACCTATCCAGACCCTTCAGATACACCACTACACTGTTTATATCTATCCAGACCCTTCAGATCACCACTACACTGTTTATATCTATCCAGAGCCTTCAGATCACCACTACACTGTTTATATCTATCCAGACCTTCAGATACACCACTACACTGTTTATATCTATCAGACCCTTCAGATACACCACTACACTGTTTATATCTATCCAGACCCTTCAGATACACCACTACACTGTTTATATCTATCCAGACCCTTCAGATATACCACTACACTGTTTATATCTATCCAGACCCTTCAGATACACCACTACACTGTTTATATCTATCCAGACCCTTCAGATACACCACTACACTGTTTATATCTATCAGACCCTTCAGATATACATACATGTTTATATCTATCCAGACCCTTCAGATATACCACTACACTGTTTATATCTATCCAGACCTTCAGTATCAACCACTACATTTTTATACCTATCCAGGACCCTTCAGTTTACCCACTACACTTATATTCCAACAGACCCTCAGAATACCACTACACTGTTTAAGACAGACCCTTCAAAACACCACACGAACACTCAATTTACCCTAAGTTTACAGACCCTTTCAGATCACCACTACACTGATATACTATCCAGACCTTCAAACACCACTACCTGGTTATATCTATCCGACCCTTTAGATATACCACTCACTGTTTTATCTATCCAGACCCTTCAGATACCACTCAGGTTATACCATCCGCTTGACCCCTCAGGGTTTAACATTGACCCTTCAGTCACAGCATCTGGTTTATGCTTCCAGACCTCAATATACAACCCCGTTATATCTTCGACCCGATACCACTCCTGGTTATATCTATCCAGATTCTTACGTGTACACTGTTTGAGAGAACCCTTCACATCGCATCGGGGTTGGGTCAGAGGGAAGGAAAATATGATTTGGGACTCTGTGATCATCATATATCACATTCGAGTATCCTGACTTATTTTTCCTTTTGTAGTTACAGCTTATCTAAAGGATTAATTGTTCCCTCAAAACCAAATCCCATAAGAAACAAAAGCAGTTTTTTTGAATTTTTTGCAACTTTCTTTAAAAAAAACCCAGAACTATCACATTTACATAAGTATTCAGACCCTTTACTCAGTACTTTGTTGCAGCAATTTTGGCAGCGATTACAGCCACGAGTCTTCTTGGGTATGACACTACAAGCTTGGCACACCTGTATTTGGGAGTTTCTCCCATTCTTCTCTGCAGATCCTCTCAAGCTCTGTCAGGTTGGATGGGGAGCATCGCTGGACAGCTATTTTCAGGTCTCTCCAGAGATGTTTGATCGGGTTCAAGTCCAGGCTCTGGCTGGGCCACTCAAGGACATTCAGAGACTTGTCCCGAAGCCACTCCTGCGTTGTCTTGGCTGTGTGCTTAGGGTCGTTGTCCTGTTGGAAGGTGAACCTTCACCCCAGTCGGAGGTCCTGTGCGCTCTGGAGCAGGTTTTTATCAAGGATCTCTCTGTACTTTGCTCTGTTCATCTTTCCCTCGATCCTGACTAGTCTCCCAGTCCCTCCTGCTGAAAAACATCCCCACAGCATGATGCTGCCACCACCATGCTTCACAGTAGGGATGGTGCCAGGGTTCCTCCAGATGTGACGCTTGGCATTCAGGCCAAAGAGTTCAATCTTGGTTTTCATCAGACCAGAGAATCTTGTTTCTCATGGTCTGAGAGTCCTTTCGGTGACTTTGGGCAAACTCCAAGCGGGCTGTCATGTGCCTTTTACTGAGGAGTGGCTTCCGTCCTTCTGGAAGGGTCTCCCATCTCCACATTGGAACTCTGGAGCTCTGTCAGAGTGACCATCGGGTTCTTGGTCACCTCCCTGACCAAGGCCCTTCTCCCCCGATTGCTGAGTTTGGCCGGGAAGCCAGCTCTAGGAAGAGTCTTGGTGGTTCCAAACTTCTTCCATTTAAGAATGATGGAGGCCACTGTGTTCTTGGGGACCTTCAATGCTGCAGACATTTTTTGGTCGCCTCCCCAGATCTGTGCCTCAACACAATCCTGTCTCGGAGCTCTCAACTGTGGGACCTTATATAGACAGGTGTGTGCCTTTCCAAATCATGTCCAATCAATTGAACACAGGTGGACTCCAATCAAGTTGTAGAAACATCTCAAGGATGATCAATGGAAACAGGATGCACCTGAGTTCAATTTCAAGTCTCATAGCAAGGGGTCTGAATGCTTCTGTAAGTAAGGTATTTCAGTTTTTTGCTAAAATTTCTAAAAACCTGTTTTCACTTTGTCATTATGGGGTATTGTGTGTAGATTGATGAGGGAAAAAAATTATTTAATCCATTTTAGAATAAGGCTGTAACGTAACAAAATTTGGAAAAAGTCAAGGGGTCTGAATACTTTCCGAATGCACTGTAGTTGACATCTGCTGTCTGTACCACCACATTCTGATGTTGATCTCTAATGTCTCTGTCAGGTCTGGGAGCAGTCTGCTGATTGACCAGTGTGAGCAGTACCGCCGCTGTTACCAGTGCAAGAGGAAGACAGAGAACTGTGGAGAGACAAACATCTGGAAAGAGTCTCACTACATGCCTGGCTCTCGCCTCATGGTGTAGACCGCTGCAACCTGGTCTCAGAGCAAACGTATTATAATCCATGCCACTCCATTTAGTATGATATGTTACTTTACGTTAGGTTACATTACATTGGCTTACCAACGTAATAGTGGTCATACAATATAATAAGAATAGTAGGACGTATAGTATCCTACGTCTTGATCGCACCAGTTTCCTTTGCCCCGTTTAGTATGATATATTACATTTGACTGGTTTAGTATGATATCACTCTCGACTGCTTTAGTATAACCTGCTACATTAGGTTAGGGGTTAAGGTGAGGGTTAGGAGTTAGATTAAAGGGTTAATGTTAGGGTTAGGGTTAGGGGAAGGGATAGCTAACATGTTAAGTAGTTGCAAAGTAGCAAAAAAGTAGTAAGTCATTGCAAAGTTACTAATTAACTCAAATGCTAAAGTTGTCCGTGATTAGATTCAAACACGCAACCTTTGGGTTGCTAGACATTTGCGTTGCCTTAAGTAACCTACTGTCATACCAAACGTAACGTATGCCAATTTAATGTAACCTAATGTAAAGTAACATATCAGAAAAATATATATAAAAAAGAGAGAGATGTTTTATTGGAGTGGCACGGATTTTAGTGAAATATAATACATTTTGTTCTGAGACCAGGCTGGTAGATCTCATGATGTAGACCTCATGGTGTAACCGCAACAGGCTTGGTGTCAATTCCATTTAAATTCCAGTCAATTCGGAAAGTAAACCAAATTCCAAATCCAAAATGTTCCTAATTGAAAAGCATTGAAGATAATTGGAGTTGGAATTTCAGTGTACTTCATAGAAATAGAATTGACCCCAACCCTGAACCACAAGACCACAAACCACCTGGGTCTTACCTGATGGTGGATGACCACCAAGCCCACTCGGACTTGAACAATCCTCAGAAGTCTACAAATCTTAGACTTACTCCTATAAAATAAACACCAATCTGTGAAGGATAATACTTGAATATGTTTGTGCTTGTAGGCTACTTGAGTGCATGTGTTAATCGTCATGGTGTGTACAACACTTGTAGCCTTCATGAGTGTATTCTTCTGCACTTCTGTATTTTTCACCCCGATCATGTGTGTGTTTTGCTATGTGTGTGTGTGTTTTGCTATGTGTGTGTGTTTTGCTATGTGTGTGTGTTTTGTCACCTTTGATTGATTGCAACGCAGCTTGACCAATCCTGTCGGTCAACAAAATGACACTTTGGCTGTGGACTCATCTCTTACCTGGTTACCCTTCTCTCTGGTGAACAAACTGGCCAACCAGTCTGTGATGACGTATAACAAACACTAGGGGGCGTGATAGAGCAGAAGATCTAGAGGACGACTGTTAACGAGAGATAATAGAAGATATATAGAGGGAGGGAGGGAGGGATGGAGGGGTGGAGGGATGGAGGGATGGAGAGATGGAGGGAGGGAGGGATGGAGGGATGGAGTAAAGTTAAGGAGGAGAGGTGCAGAAGGGAGAGAGGGAGGATAAAAGACTGCAGGGAGTGAATGAGGGAGAGAAGTGCATGTATCGGCTCCTTTACACAGAGTATGGCTGCATCCCAAATGGCACCCTATTCCCGACATAGTGCACTACTTTTGACCAGCGCAGTGTGGGTCCTGGTCAAAAGTAGTGCACTATAAAAGAGAATAGGGTTTCATTTGGGACGTACTCTATGATGGATGTTCTGCTGAAGTTCAAGAAGAGTTTATTTTAGCTTGTTAGTTAGTGGACTCTCTGTATCAGTCTCTTCTTTCCCAGTCCTCTCACACTCCCAGCTATCTTTACACACACTAGGAGTTGTGTGGAACCTATAGTATGTGCATGAAAAATAAACAGAAAGTATGTGTGCGCTTGTGGTAGTGTCCGTATAGTTGATTGATTGTGTGCACGTGTTTGCTTCCTGCCTCATCCCCTAGGACTAATAGAACAAGACGGAGATCCTCCCTGAAACATGCGTCTCTGGTCCCAGGCCCATGGCACTCACCAGAACTATAGCTAGTTACACTGAGACATACGATATACTTTATTAGTCCATATGGGATGGAAATTGGTGTTCTGCTTTTTTCCCAACCCCTCCGATAAACACTCACACATATAGTTGAAGTCGGAAGTTTACAAACACTCAGGTTGGAGTCATTAAAACTTGTTTTTCAACCACTCCACACATTTCTTGTTAACAAACTATAGTTTTGGCAAGTTGGTTAGGACATCTACTTTGTGCATGACACAAGTAATTTTTCCAACAATTGTTTACAGACAGATTATTTCACTTATAATTTACTGTATCACAATTCCAGTGGGTCAGAAGTTTACATACACTGTGCCTTTGAACAGCTTGGAAAATTCCAGAAAATGATGTCATGGCTTTAGAAACTAATTTACATCATTTGAGTCAATTGGAGGTGTACCTGTGGATGTATTTCAAGGCCTACCTTCAAACTCAGTGCCTCTTTGCTTGACATCATGGGAAAATCAAAAGAAATCAGCCAAGACCTCAGAAAAAAATTGTAGACCTTCACATGTCTGGTTCATCCTTGCTCAGCCACTGCTCCAAAACCGCCATAAAAAAGCCAGACTACGGTTTGCAACTGCACATGGGGACAAAGATCGTACTTTTTGGAGAAATGTCCTCTGGTCTGATTAAACAAAAATAGAACTGTTTGGCCATAATGACCATCGTTATGTTTGGAGGAAAAAGGGGAAGGCTTGCAAGCCGAAGAACACCATCCCAACCGTGAAGCACGGGGGTGGCAGCATCATGCTGTGGGGGTGCTTTGCTGCAGGAGGGACTGGTGCACTTCACAAAATAGATGGCATCATGAGGAAGGAAAATTAGGTGGATATATTGAAGCAACATCTCAAGATATCAGTCGGGAAGTTAAAGCTTGGTCGCAAATGGGTCTTCCAAATGGACAATGACCCCAAGCATACTTCCAAAGTTGTGGCAAAATGGCTTAAGGACAACAAAGTCAAGGTATTGGAGTGGCCATCCCAAAGCCCTGACCTCAATCCTATAGAAAATGTGTGGGCAGAACTGAAAAAGCGTGTGCGAGCAAGGAGGCCTACAAACCTGACTCAGTTACACCAGCTCTGTCAGGAGGAATGGGCCAAAATTCACCCAACTTATTGTGGGGAGCTTGTGGAAGGCTACCCGAAACGTTTGACCCAAGTTAAACAATTTAAAGGCAATGCTACCAAATACTAATTGAGTGTATGTAAACTTCTGATCCACTGGGAATGTGATGAAGGAAATAAAAGCTGAAATAAATCATTATCTCTACTATTATACTGACATTTCACATTCTTAAAATAAAGTGGTGATCCTAACTGACCTAAGTTTAAATGTATTTGGCTAAGGTGTATGTAAACTTCCGACTTCAACTGTATACAACAGGCTGGACAGGCTGGAGCAGAAGGCAGCCGCAGGGCAGCGCCCTATCTACAGATGTAGGATCTTCATTTGATCACTATTTTGTTGCTGAGAATTTTCCTGCACAGCAGGAAATGCAAACATCTAGTGTATTTGAGTGTGAAAAAGGCTTATAAAGTTTGCCATTTCCACTTTGCCATTTCTGTTACATCTACTCCCACTCCCCCTCTCCGGCGCTCAACGTCGCCTGTCTTCTAACCACCGGTCCTGGCAACCCATCATTACGCACACCTGGACTTCATCACCTCCCTGATTACTCCCCTTTATTTAGCCCTCAGTTGTCATCAGAGCTTAGGTGTTATTGGTTTTTCTCTCACGTTCAGTACGCGTCCTATGTTTGTTCTTTTGTATCTTTTCTGTATTAAAACTCACCTTCTGCACCTGCTATCTGACTCCCGACATATACGTTACAATTTCAGACTTGATTTGGCCTAATAAAAATTTATCAGCCCCTACATACATTTCCATTAATTGTCATCTACATAATAATTCACATTTCCTGTTGCTGCAGGATTATTTTCCTGCTGTAGCAAACTGGCTCAAATTAAGATCCTACATCAGTATGAGACATGGGGATAACCCCCTTCTCCCCCGCTTAAATCACTGATCTCTTTTCCTGTGTGCTCTGAGACCAGTAAACACAATCATTAGTCATATGATCCAGTCGACCCATGGACATGTTGTATCACTATATTCCTTTCATCCTGACTGCACTGCAACAGCCCCCTGAAACCCTGATGAAGACAGCCCTCTGAAACCCTGTTGAAAACAGCCCTCTGAAACCCTGTTGAAACCAGCCCACTGAAACCCTGTTGAAACCAGCCCACTGAAACCCTGTTGAAACCAGCCCACTGAAACCCTGTTGAAGACAGCCCTCTGAAACCCTAATGAAGACAGCCCCCTAAAACCCTGTTGAAGTTAACCCTCTGAAACCCTGTTGAAGGCAGTCCCCTGAAACCCTGTTGAATGCAGCCCTCTGAAACCCTGTTGAAGGCAGCCCTCTGAAACTCTGTTGAAGGCAGCCCTCTGAAACTCTGTTGAAGGCAGCCCTCTGAAATGCTGTTGAAGGCTTGGGATGTGATGTATGCTGTACATTAAATATTATACTGTAATAATGGGTTAGATTTATATATTGGATGCATATTTTCCAGATGCTCATATCTCTATACATCGTATAAGAGGAACAGTACATGGATACAGTATATAATTGGTGGAATAACAAAAGCCCTCCTCGAACTGAATCATGAGGTGTGTGTGTGTGTGAGTTGGTGAGTGAGTGCATGCACGCGCGTGTGTCATCAGAATAAGGAGGACTACTTTGACGTTCCAATTAAGCCATCTCGTTATGCACTGGCTGGTGAATAAACACAGGCAACCTCAATATGAAGTCAAACTGAAAACCCGCCATATGCTTTTCATATCATCAAACCCCACACTCTCCACTAACTCTCCAGTGACTTTGTATATACAATGACAGTTACCCTACATTGGCCAAACACAACAATTATTGACAAGTCAGGGAAAGTCTGGCAGTAGGGTTCTCTCTCTCTCTCTCTCTCTCCTCTCTCTCT